AAAAACAAACAAAAAAACAAAAACAACCAAACAAGATTTCAGTGTGATGTTATTGTCTTACATCTCTTTGAATTTCTGTTATACAATCACAGAAATATTAACTCATTGCAAATATTTTTTCTCTGTTTTTCACTGCCAGTCGTGTGTTTACTGTTGTAACTGTCAGTCAGATGAGGTGAAGATCATCCCCCTTTCTGATGGCAGACTGACTGTGGAGGGCTCATGACAGTCTCTCCCTCTCTCCCTCCCTCTCTTCCGCCACTAGTTCTTTGCCGTCTGCTTGGTGTGTCAGGGCCTTAAATCACACACACACACACACACACACACAGGCAGACACCCAAACACACACTTTATTTCACTTTACCCCCCTAACTCTGTCATCAAGAGGCAAAGGAATGAGAACCTCTTCAAACTTTTTCCTATTTTCTTAAAATTATTGTGAATATTAGATTTTTCTGATATTTTCTAGTAAAAAAAGCCTGGTGTAGTGTGAGCCATGTTTTGGACAGTATTGTATATAATACAACAAGTGAAGTAGAAGCGATTAAAGGTTTTCTTGGTCAGTGCACTTGTCACACTGTGTGACCTGGTTTCTCAGTCTCTGGGTGTGTAAGTGCATGTGTGTGTATTTGTTCGTGTCTGTCTGCGTTTTTTGCCCAAGGCTGAGATTTAGCCTGAACAAGCCGTTTGCTTTCCCCTGCCAGGGTCACAGTTCAGCTGATAACAAGACTTACTTTGAACTGTGTTTGGCTTTTGATCATCATGGTTGTTTTTTGGTTTACCAGCTGCAAACGTTAATTTTTCCTTTTTGATATTAAGCAGTTTTCCTTTTGAAATGATTGCAAAGAAGGTATATAACGTTGTTGTGGCTTCTAATCAGCTTTTAGCATTGCCTACATTTTTAATCTACAAGAACTTAATACAAACATGCGGATAAACATTTACTGATCTTGTGTACCATGGCACTTATATGTTAAACTTCAACTTCACATTTTTAAATTAGCTTGACGGTTAGCACTACTGTGTTTCATACCTGCAGGCACATTGCTTCAGGAGTTAGAGCTAAAGTAGGGAACTCCTTGGCTTGGGCAACAAAAATGTTAAGCTAGGTCTGCCCTCATGACCCATAATTGGTCGGTTTCATTCCCTTACATATGTTATGTGTCAGTTTTTGACCTTAAGTAACACCAGACTTACCTTGACAGTTAATATCTGTGAAGTCACACATACTGATGATGAATAGACTTGTGTTGTTTTAATAGAATTGTAAGTTTATATAGTGTTTGTGCATGTTTTTATTGCACTACACTTTGATTTGCAAATTGCTCTCACAAATGAAAATGGCTGTTATGACTTGCCGTTGTGCTTTCTTGTAAAGGCATGTGCAAACAGGTTCACAGAAAGGGGGTGTATTTTTTAATTGATTTATTTTTTTACTTTCAATTCAGAAATAATCCAAAACACTAAAGCAAAAACATTCCCCTTAATGACTCAATTCAAAGAGTTTACATGGATATGTTCAGTCAGTGTGAAACATTTAGCATGTTCTCTTCTGAAGTCTGGTTGGACCTGTTCGATAGCTGTGTCACATGCAGGTGAGAATGAGAGTCATAAACAAAGCACTCAAAAAATGTATTCAGACATGATTAATGGTATCTTGCTGATAAAATCATGGTTTTCTGAAAACCACCTTTATTTAAGAAGGTCAGTTTCTGAAACTTTTTTCAACAAACATTTACTATAAAGTTAAAAGTGTCCTTTAATTTATGTGAGATGTTGTTAAAAAAAAAAAAAAAAAAAAAGGTTGTTGCACAGAGCGGTCCTCCGTCAGTTATCACTGGGCTCCAGGGTCTGGACAAGCTGCTCCCATATGTTACACTTTCAGTCGGAGAATATTGAGCACTGGACAATCTGAAATCCATTGTTTACTTTGGATCTTACAGTAGATTATTATTTTTTAAGAAAGGCTACTGGGTTATTAAAGGTAAATATTAAGCCTATCCCATAACCACCAAACCAGTTCTCCTTGACTTCCTAAGTCTGTTTGATGAATGGCCATAAATTATGGCCATTGTCTAGGGATTTATGGAGGTGTGTTTTGTATTTAAAAGTTTCCTCTAGTTTGGTGCTGGTGGATACAGTTGGTTCATAGTTCCATTGTAGATGTGAGCTGCAAATTCTAGCACTAAACAAAATGTGAAAAAATGGGTCGGTAGCCAGTCTCTTCCGCAAAGCCGCACTTCAGCCCTGATTATTCACTTGTCTACAGTTTTTGGAAATTGCTTCTACAATCCTACAATTCATCAGTCACTTTTTTTCCAGTGTGAGGTAGGGCTGGCCAATTAATCAAGTTTCAATTTCAGTTGTGGTTCTGGCTTCCCACAATCATGAAAACAAGATAATAGAGATGAAACGATTACTGGGTGGCATGCTGTATTGCACCGGTTTTGTTCATTATCTTTGTTATGTGTGGTAAATGTTTCAAAGTGTTTGTTCTGATTTTTGACATAATTGAGCAGCCCCGATTGTGAGGTACATCTGAGAGTAATTACAACACAAGCAAGGATCTAGAAGGGAGATAATGATGTCAGTAATTGCCAGAGTAGTGCAAACAACTGAGGTAAATGTGGATATCCATTTTTGAAAGAGACCATTCCTGTCACATCACTTGTTAGGAATATTTTCTAGCATTACTCTGAGGATTGTTTCTAATGACATTTCTTGTGTTATGTGTCACCCAACATTTCTTGTTTGATATGTAAACCTCGACACCCTATAGAGATTGCCAAAGACGGACGGGTGATTACTCTGTAAACAGCTTTAGATTTCTGTGCTGGTCCCATAAGCAGGAGGAACTGCATGAAAGTTAATAGTTTCTCTGCTGAATAGAGCACTTGTCTGTTTCATCTCTTTAGCTGAATCCAGCATAGAGCCTTGAAAAATAGTCTGCAGACCTCAGACACCTTGATACAATAAGATGATCCATTACCTCCCAATTGTGTTACCCCATCTTTCTCTCTTCCTCCCTCTCACACACACTCTAAGTGTGTAGCTGGTCCTCCCTATCTGGGATGATCTCACATTCTTGCTGTAGCCCACACATTTTGGCAGCAACTTAAGGACTGTGGTCACTCTAATTATAAGGGTTTCAGGCAGTATAGTTCTTCTGATTTATTCATCACTGTTCAGGCCACCACTATAACACCAGGACCACACAATTAGCATGCCTGCATGTTGCGGTTGAGTGTTTCTGTTATGGATGTTTTCCTTGCAAGCAGGGTGCCTGACTAGTCTCTGATTTAGACACCAACCAGTGTTGAATAAAATCATTTTGACAGCATTTAAACTTTTTAACAGAATGTCCTTTCATGAAAGAAAGATTCTAGGACTGCTAGACAAAATCAAAAGTACAATAGGTTTTTTTCCATAATTGCAAACAAATGTCATGATTGATGATGAATTTTGAGTGGAAATGGAAAATGTTTGTATTCATTTGTATCATCAGCATGTTTTTAACTTAAACTGCACCGGATTTGGGATTTTGGTAGTGTTGATTCTGTTGGGCTTTAGTTAAACTGAATTTATACTCTTCAATTCATCCAAACAATTCCATCTTACAAGGCACCTACTGAAGACTAAATTATGACCTCTGAGAGTTGAAAGTCCCCAAAAAATCACTTTATAAACAAATGCATGGGAAAACAACGGATCCTATTTTGAGGGCTTTAGAGTGTTTTTAGTTCTGATGTTTCTAAAATAAGTTTCTCTCCTTTACCCTCGTTTTCTCTTCCTGCTAAAATTTTGCATTTGTTGTTTCAGTTGTGTTGGTCACAATAGCTTACAGTCTGTATGGTGATGTAGTTGAATAGTTTCAGATAAGAAAGCAGATGTGATGAAAGAGGGGGGCACAGAAGGACATGAGAGAAATATTTGAGTCGTTTTAAGTTTTATTAATTGTACTTCTCATGTGTCTTTCAGCCCTTTTTTTTTAAGTCCTAAAACTTTGTTCTTGTCTCGCCATATCTTTGAATATTCTTAAAGGCTTGGACTTAGATTTCTCTGAATTCTAAATTAAGTATTACTTTTTCTTGTCTCTTTTAGGACCTGCAGGTGATAACTATGCAACCAATGCCCGTCAGGACCAATCAGAGCAGTTGGACACCGGCACACACACAACATTGTAAACTTTGACTGTGGACCCTACTGTCAAGGAAATTCCTCAGTCCTCCAGGGTAACCTCTGTGGGTTTTTCTATCTGGTGGTTTGTACAGCTGCACAAGCTTCTGTTTCCACAACACACTTACAAAGCACACATAGCACACTGTGCTTTGGAGCTGAAGTCATTATTTGCTCAGGCCATTGACCATGATGGGAAACTGAAAGTGAGGAAGTTTGGGTCTGTTGTGTAGCATGACCTGAAGAGGATCCCTCTCATTGTCCAAGTAAGTATTTCTAAATGACCTAAATCACACACATTGTTTTAATGATGGTGTATTATTGATGGTTAAAGGTGCACTCGTATTATGAAAGCCTCTTCATCAGTAAGTCCACCACTTTAAGCTCACCTAGTTGGAAGATAGTAAACTTCTTTAAATATCTGGGAGACACTTGAGAATACTCTACTTCCAGGACAAACTATACTCAGTATCATTCAGAGTCACCTAACCCAGTTGTCTTATAAACATTACAGTGCTGTCAAATTACAAAATATATTGGTTTTGAAGTCTGCAAATCGCATTTCCTCTGCAAATTTAATTTCCTCTTTCTGCTCTTTGGAGCCACTAATTGAGATGGACATTGCTATTTGAACATTAGGTGTCAAGTGTTTCAGGGAAACATATTTATCTGTCTTGGATCAGAATTAGATAAAGAAATAAAGGTCTTGAGACGTTTTTGAAACAGTTTCCTGAGGGCTCTTAGGTTAATGTATGTTTAACATATTTTGATTTCCAAAGCTGCAGGAAAACAAAGGATAGAGCAGGACGCTCCAAGGAGATGTGATGGCTGCTGAAGAGAATCAGACACAGGTCAGTGCTGCTGTTCTGGCTCAGCGTGCTTCACCTCCATCCACCGGGAGCAGACCAGGCAGAGAGGCTGGAAATGTAAAGGACAGCCTGAACGGACGGAGATACTCTGACCAATCATGGAATTTCAAACCACGGAGTAGCCCATCCCTCCTGGTATATAGGAAGTTGTCATGTGACAGTGGGAAAGATACACTTTTGAACGAGGAATACAAGATTTTGGATTATGGATCAAAACTGTTGAGTAAAGAAGAGAAACTTTGTCCAGAGCAGCTGACTGGCAAGAGAACTGAAGGAATAACTTCCAATTTTCCTCCATTACCTGGAAAAGGTTTGGAGGGATCTTTGTGCCAGCTGGACACTTCTGCAGAGGGTGTGGATGCCTGCAGAAACAGAACTGGCAGCACGCACTGCTCCTGCAACATGTCGAGCCTGAAGAGGAGTCCACATATCTACTGTTATGACAGCCACAGATCCAGTCCGAGCCCCGGCTCCAGCCCTCTTCCCAGTCCTCATCTCAGCCCGTCTCGGCCAAGGCAACGGCACATCCGCCGCAGCAGCATGCCCGTGTCTATGCTGGCTTTCCACAAGGTAATAAAGGACAACAAGCAGTTTGCTGTTGCTAGTTATCTGCAAAAAAAAACATACATCAAGCTGCTTAAAGGATGTGTTATGTGTTCTCGTGCTCTTGAATATCTTTTTTTTTTTACCATTGAGAAAATCAAACATCTCAGATGCAACATTGAAGCTACTTCAGCTGTTAAAGAGCTCAAATAAACCTATTAAGTTTAAGCCAGAAGTTTACTAGTCCTCTCAGCTGTTAGATACTGATTTAAATATTTCCGTATTGTTTTAGGCCATCAGTAATATGCCTTTGTGGACAATGACTCTTTCCCCAGACTAACATGTAATTAATTATCAGGGGGGAGCCTAGAGTACTTTAATTTGCTCTGCTTTCTCCTTCTAGACATCAACCTGCCATTCTTCTCAGTGCAGTACATGCAGTGAGCCAAGCTCTTTGGCATCATCTCCCTGTGGTTCCCCTCTGGCCACCCACCGCCAGCATCACCAAAACGGACAAATCGAACGGCGTCATCCAAACGATGGCTACTCGAGTTTGGAGAGGCTCAATCGAAGGCCTCGAGTTAATAAATGCTCCCTGGAGAAACTTTTCCTCTTACGGGCATCTCTAGAAACAATGACATCCACCAGTAACAAAGAGAGGTTGTCCCCAGAGGTGATGAGGACCTGCAGCGGGGGAAGCAGCACTGATGAAGAGGATGGAAACAATGTCTGTGGTGACCCAGAGTTTGATAGAAATCGTATAGAGCGTTCCACCGTCCTGGTGAGGCGCTTCTTCAAGAATAATCAAAAGGTATTTACATGCAATATTCCTTTTCTCTTCTTTGTTTCATTTAGTTTTTATTGAAGTTTGAATTAAACAAAGAAAAAATAAACAACAGAAAAAAGACAGGGCTACAAAATAGTTGGAAATAATGAAAAAAAAAATCTATAAAAGATTAAGTAAAGCAGAATAAATAAAATCATAAATTTATGTTCTTGACAGAACTTTGCTTTTTTCTTAAGGTGACCAAGACAGTGTGTACCGGAACCCGAGCGATTGTCAGGACGCTGCCGTCGGGATGCATCTCAGAGGAGGTCTGGGAGTTGATTTTCCATCGCAGGACTCGGAGTCCTAAGAAGACAGACTTATCGGCAATCTTACTGTGCAGCATGAGAGAAGACGTCCGATTCTGCAGAGGGATACTACGTTTTGTTGGAGATAAACTAAAGCAGGTAAGAAAATAAAAGCACAGACTTCCTGTTTACAGATTTGTTATGTTTTAAAAAGAGCTCTCAAATGTGGTGTGAAAGTTAGATAAAGGACAGCAGTACCATGGAGCGTGCATCACAACAGCAGTTCTGAAAAGTCTGCAGTCTTAATCTGCACAGTTAAACATGTTTTCAATCATCATCCCAAGCAGAGGTTACCAAGGCTGCACGTTTTACAGGTTTAGGCAGTGGGAACGTTTCAATCTTTATGGTGTTCATGGTCTTACATCACTGATGCATGGCCTCAAGCTATAGTGTGCTTATTCTTTAAGTGCTATAAAATAATGTGCTGTTTCCATTCATGATAAAGCATTGGGTTTAGTAGTTTCACTTTTTTTTTATCTCACTTTTTTTAGCTGCAAGAAAAAGTGCATGTCTTAACTAGCTGCAGTGGCACAAGAGTATTTATGAATTGATTTATTCTTGTTGCAATAGAGAAAAAAATTCTTTCTGTTGTTTTGGTTGAAATGTGATGCATATTTTGCATGAAAGATGAATAATTTGTTCAAGGAATATGTTAATAGACCAACACAAAGTGCAAAAAAAACACACACACACTGGCTCTTTGTTCAGAGAAGGCCCCTGCTGTGGAAAAATGATTTATTCTCTGTGAGTTCTGCTCCCAGTGTTACTGACAGACTGAATGTGTGTATGTGTGTGTGTGTGTGTGTGTGTCTAAATGGACCGAACAGAGTTGGCATCAGCATTAAAGTTACAGCCATGAAAATTGGAGAGGGAATTAATGAGCAGACTGAGTGAGAAAGTGACAGACAGAGGGAAAAAGACAGAGTGAGATAGAGACAGACACAGTACTTCTCTGTGTCGTTATCAAGTTTCCAAGCAAGAGACAGAGAGAGTGAGTGTTTTTACAAACCTCTCTCAGGAGCTGCACAACTTAAGGAGCTTCGGCCGCCACTGTTTAACCTTTTACCCGGGGGGCATTTAATCGGACAAAGTCGGGCTCTTCAGTCTGGGAGGTGAGAGTCTGAAGGTTTAGAGCCAGCAGCATCCCACCAGGATGCTCTGAAGTTGTTTTTGGTTATCTTATCCTGCCACTTCCTGTAGAACTCAAAACACATGGAGACAGAAAACCAGAAATTCTTGCGGACATATACAACCACCTTTGCAGATCAACACTACGTTCAGTTTAGGCCCGCTGAAGTCTCATAAAGACGAGAAGTTTCTATTTGCACACGTCACTGTGGACTTTTTATGTCTTGTCTATGACAGGATTCTGGCCTGTTTATAGCTTTACTGTAAATATGTCCGCATAATTTGCATGGATTTGTATTTGGGTATTTTATTTTTTTATGGGTTCTTGCATAACCACAACAGAGCCAAGTCCTGTCCAAAGGTTCTGACCAATGGAGATGGAGCTTTTACACTTAAAGCATAGAAATACACACATTGGTACTCATGTGCACGCTGCTGCTGCTGCTGCAGTGTGGTTTCTGACTTTGCCAAAGTGTTTTTATGACTCCTTTGTGGTCGTAGAAATACGGGCAGAGTTAAGTCCAAGCAGAGCAGCTTTAATAATGAGCCCATTGAAAAGTGTGGGGGTTGCCAGCACTTTCCTTTTCAAAACACCATCTGAGCTGCTCCTGTGAGGGGTCACCAGAGAAACTCAGAGAAACACTGTGCAGCAGTGAATAAGTCGAGCTGAAGAAGTTGTCATCAGGGTCATAAAAACTGTGAAATAGTGGGAACACGTCCTGCTACAAACCATTGGATGCATGCGTGAAAAACTTGGAGACCTAAACATATTCCCTTGTAATCTACATAAATGTTTTGTTAGAATTCATACAGCAAATAGAAACGTAACAGTGTAACAAAACAAAACAAATGATTGCATCATTGACACACAGTTTAAGGGTTTAGAAATTGTTCATGTTTGTGTTTCACTTGTAATGAATTCATGCACACATTCTGCAGGACGTTCTGAGTATCAGTGTTTTACAGATTCCACACATGGAATTGAAACAAACACCCACATGATACGTAATGGTACACAGACCCCCTACATGCGGCATGTTCGCCTGACTGCAGTAATCTTGCTGAGGAGTTTTCTGCAAGTGTCCTGTGGCCCTTCGTGTTTATTGCTACAACTAATGAAGCGAGCCAAAGAACACAGGATTATGTGAAGGAGGGACTGGAGCAGGGCAGGAGTGGGAGGGAGAGGGAAGGGTAACGTACTAGGAGAGAGAGCAAATTACATTTTAACAGTGGAAAAAGAAGTGAATCTACCATGGAAGAAAAGCGGGGAAACAAAAAAAAAAAAAAACACAAAGATGTCATGAACACAAGTTTGAAACTTGTTTAGAAGGTCAGAATGGAAAATCATAATGAAGGAAAATATATAAATGGGAAAGGAAAATACATCCACTTTACATTCTCACCAAAGTTTGGCAGTGTCCAAACTGTCCAAATCTCGGAACATCCCAAGTTTCAGGATAAAATAAGAGAATAGATTTTCTTTTTGAAAGTGAAGCAGTAGGTCTCTGTTTCTCCCTTTTCCTATCTACATGTTCCTTCCTTCTCAATCTAAGGCTCTGTAATGAAGTCATTTAGTTATCCAGGCAGATACTTAATCAGTAATTTGTACTTCAGCCCTTTTCTTCAATTTAATATTAATTTCAGCTCTACAAGAAGCTGAACTTAGCAGGAAATACATTTTAAGTCAACCCACCTATGGCAGTTTTAAAAAAATTGTTCTACCAATGACTGTGAGGGAAGTTTAACACACAAAACAAGGAAGTGTTTCATTACTTTGTGCAAGTTTAACAGTGACAGGTTCACTTCAACTGATACACACACACACACACACACACACACACACACACACACACACACCTGGCATTTGGATCAAACAGTCTATGGAGCCTGAAGCTTTTTATTGTTTGACTTTGTGGAGACTACCAATTAAAGCCCTGCTGAGTCCTTTCATTTAAACCAAATTGGTGTCAGGCTGAGTGGTAAGTAACCATGCACTCCATTACACACACACACACACGCACGCACACACACACACACACACACACACACGACAAATATATCGTTTTCCCACTACCAGAGATCCAAAGTAGTCTTCACACAAAGCCAGAATTCTGCCCTTGAAAGTACAGTTATATCATGGGGAAGTTATTTACTTACAGATCTAATTATTTCATCACAGACAGATTTCACACTGTTGCTTGTTTGAAATAGACAACATTATGATGCCTATTAAAGCTAGTAGCTTGTGTAGGTATAAGCAGTAAACCTCCACACTACGTCATGCAGTGGCTATGCGCTGAGCCCAGGAGGAGGGGCCCAGTTTGAATGCTCTCACTCTACGTTTAAGTAATAATACTTTGAACTAGATGTGTAAACCAGGAGTTCAATTCCCACTCAACATACTATCGTATCAATATTTTACAATGATATTTGCTAATTACTGATATCACAATTTTGCCATACTGCAAAAGAGATTCTTTCTGATAAATTGACCAGTGGTCAATATGAGAAAAAAATCCTTACTTTTCACTACTATCAATTAAATGTATAATTACTCACTAAAACAACTTTAATATAATTGAACAAACTCATAGGGCTTAATTCTGTGTGCATTGTCTTTGGTGTAAGTAAAGCAAATGTAAATGAATGAGTTTCAATATGTTCATGTTCATGATCCATAAGACCCATTGATCCTTTTTCCAAAAAAAACCTTTCTTTATACTCCTTCTGAAACTACTTAAATCAGATAAGGTGACGTTTCCCCACCTTCAGTTTTCAATATAACTATTTCCTCAATATTTCTACTACTACGCTACTGTGGCTCACCAGGCAAAGTCAGTTCTGACATAGTGTGTACTGTAGTCAAGCACTTTTGCTTGACTCTGACCCTGCTGACCCTTAATAAAAATGTCTATCTATTTGCTTGAGTTAGTGACTCCCAGTTATTTATTTTTAAACTGATCTTCTAAACTGACTCTATCCCTGTCAAATAAACACATCAATAAATAAATGAACAGAGAATGATCAACATTCATGACTTAACTGTTTCATTGCCTGTTATTAGTGTCTAGCTTTGGCTCCAAGTTTTTATGGTCAGCAAACATCGGCCGGGCTGTCTAAGACAGTAATATTAAAATGCAGCCTGGGACACATAAGAGCTGTTGTTAAAGTCCTCCATGTTTGCGCTGTCGGATGTTATTTCCCAAAACAGCTGTTATCAATGCCTGTAAAAAGGGTCAATATATTTTTAAGACCAGTTTTTTATGAGTTCAGACAATAACTTTTGCAAACACATCCAAATCCTCGCTACCAATTAGTGCTTGTGTAGAATGGAGCATTCAAAGATAAAAGGTCCAGTAAATATCCGGCACCATGTTGTCATTAAATTCAGGACTTTCCAGGTAATTGTGCTCAGATGGTTTCGTTTACTTGTGAGGATCATCAGACAGACGGCATTAACAGTGTTCTTAAAGTGTTTAAGAGAGAAAGAAACAATGACACATGTGCATGCAATGTAAAGTACTATGATAAAACAGTTTGGAAGAAAATGGTAAGAGAAAACAGATGATGTTAAAGTATGCTGTGAAATGTGGCTGTGCTTGGAATGAACATCTTTGCCAAGTGAACAGGAGTCGGGAACATTGTTGCCTACATTGGCAACTGTCCTTCATTGTTAGGAGACCTTCTATTAATCAGCAAAGCATGCAAATGAACATTGTGATTCATTTTTAATAAATCCAGGTGTCAACTTTAGAAAGCAACTTTAAATTGCATCACTGTAGTAGTACAGAATGTGCCAGAGTATTTATAGTATTTGCTCATCAGGATGTTGGTCGGAGATTTTTTTTGGGTGACTACATGTACAAATATAAGATTATCATATCAAACATATTTGATCCAAAATGGTAACACCATCCAACCCATTCAGTTTTAAAGATTGAAGCCCAACAGTACAGGTAGGTTATGTTTGA